TTATTTATTTTATTTTATTCCCATTTTATCACCCTCTCGGCCTTTTTCATTTTTCATTTTACAGCCGCCAACTACTACGATTTACTCCATTTTTGTTAAATTCAAACTTAATATCTGCTTTTTAAGAAAATATATATTAAAGATACTAATAATAGAAGTTGGTATGGTTGGGCAAGTTTTGGGCTTCCAAACCCCAACCCAATTTGATAACATTTGTATATTATCAGATCCGATATGTAGGCCCTATGCACATCAGAGCAGTTCGGTTTTATTGGTCATGAGTTTGTTTGCCATCCCTAATTGCCATCTATATCGCTGTTGCCACTGCTAGCTTACTGTCACCACCACTTCCATCATTTTTATTGTCTCTGATCACCACCATTGCCACTGTCGCTGTTACTACTGCTTCTGCCACTGCCACTTTTGTTATCACCCCCTTCACCCTCCCTGTCACCACCACCGCCACCCGTGTTGTTGTTGCCTTACCACCACCACCGCCACCCGTGTTGTTGTTGCCTTACCACCACCACCTTACTCTTACTGTAACTGCTGCCGCCATTGGCACTGGTGCCGCTGCCACCATTGGCACTGGTGCCGCTGCCACCATTGGCACTGGTGCTGCTGCCACCAGTATTGTGCCACCACCACCACTTGCTCTGCTGCAACCAACTCTTGCAGTGAATGCTGCCAGATGTTGTTGCTGTCAACCACCATTGCCAATACTGCCACTCTCATTGTTGCTGCAATCAGTGTCACCTATCTTGTCACTGCTAACTGCCATTGTTGCCACCATCACCTAACTGCCACTACTGCTGCCACCACCATTGGTATTGTCACTATTGCTACTGTTATCCTTATTACTGCCATGTTTGCAACCTTTACCACCACCATCTTCGCCACCATTGTGTGCTAATGCTACTATCACATATGTCCTCGCTACCGTCCTGTACCATTGTAGGTAGCTTTACTTTATCCAACCGCTAATCTAGCCTATTTAACCCACTATCCTACCATGTAGAAAATGTCGCCTCAGAATGAGAAATAATTCTTGAAATGGAGGGCTATGGATCAAATGTGCTTTATTAACACAATTTCAACTTTCTTGGTTACTTAATAGATTTTCTTACGGCATTTTTACATGATCTGCTTCCTTTCTTAGCTTTTGCTAGAAAAACTGTGGGTTTGAGTCATTTAATATAAGATTGAAACAATTATTCTAATAATTTGGGTGCTGGCTATGGAGAACTTTTTCTCATGCCTTCTTTTGATGAGGAAGATCTAGCTTCCATAGAGTTGTGACAGGACTGTGTGCAGTCTTAGTCTTATGTGTCGCCTCCTGTTTTAAGACATCTTCACCTGGCATGGGGAATAATGATTCTATGTGGTATCTTCTTCCTTCAACATATAATGACGACCAAATTCTGTTATCGGTGTCTTAGCTGTATTCTATGTTTATCTTTGTTTTTTGAGTTTTGAAGTATCATTTTCCTGAAGCATTGATACTTTTAAGGCTTCTTTTTCTCTGTTCTATGGATCTTGATTTTCTCTGATCTCTATGTATGTCATGATATCGTTCCTATTAGGGCATTTCCTTAATGCATTTTGTTTTCATATGTAGCTTCAAGTTGACTGCGGTTTCAATCAGAATCTAAACTCGAAGACATTGTCAGCTCCCAATCTTAGCACACTGGATTTTCCTGCCCTTACAGTAGCAGATAGTCAGAATGTTCCTCCAAAGTATGTCGGCGATGATCTTCATCAAAGAGGAAATGCATATCGGTCTTCTGAGAAAGATAACTTGGTTTTGTTTAAGTCAGGTTCTTCAGTTCCATCTAGAGGTGCAACAGATTTTGCTTCAGCTGTCAGGAAACTGGCATCTCAAGATTCTGGTATGTGGAAATATGATAGAAATGGTTCTGGTGATTCCACTATCGGCTCAAGTAGAAGCTCCCATGGTTTCTCTGGCACTTACAATGGCACGCATGGAAGGAGCATTTTTGGTGATAAATCACAAAGTCGTGGTTCTGCTCGGTCAGCTCCTTTTTGGCTAGAAACTGGAGATGCAGTGGGTAAACTTTCGTCATTAATGAACTTAGTTTTTAGATGTTTTAATTATGAGCTAAACTTGGTTTGGATCTATATCAGCTTTCATTTTTCATTTGAACAGCAAATATGTATTCTGAGCTTAGGGAGGAAGCTCGGGACCATGCACGTTTACGTAATGCATATTTTGAGCAGGTATTTTGTAATCTTATCTTACTGTTTCAAATCTATCATTTACTAATACTCTCAATGATGCAGTGATAACTTTTAAAATCGATCATGGAGAGGGAAGGAGGTGTGAGGTTACACATTCTGCCTATGGTTGTATCACCTCCTAAAAGTTATGATGTTTTTTCCTAACTTAACATGACAGTAACTTTGTAGTATGTGCTGATGATATGGGATTGCCTAAATGCTTCCATTTACCCTTCTGACACTGTTTGATATCAATATCTAAAATCAACTTAATGGTGCTCCCTTTCTAATTTAAATGCTCCTTTCTTTCCATTTTTGTTACTTGTTCTTGTTCTTGTTCAGAAATTACTAATAGGGGTGACAATGAACTGAGTTGAGCCAAATATAAAAGTATCAGAGTTTGATCTTTTTTTGACCTATGTCAAGTTCAGATTCAGCTTAAATATTGATTCACTTCTTTTTAGACTCGAGCTTGGTTCATATAGGGAGAGCTTGAATTCGAATTTGAATAAGTTTCAAAGTATATAAAATTGAGTTTAACAAAGAGCTAGTTTAACTTTGTGTTTTCCTACCTTTGTTGAAGTGGTTTAGATATATTTAATAGACAATGAACATATCATCATCTATAAATCAATACTATCCATTATGATAATATTTATTAATCGATAAATGAACATATTCGTGAACTTTTGGAGCAAATACCTACAAGCTTGAGTTCGGCTCATTTAACTAAAATCTTTTTTTGGGTCTAAATTCGAGTATGAAGGAACTCAAACGAGTTTTGACTGAGCTGAAGACAGACCATTCATGGAAATGTTTGGTCGTTGCCACCTCTAATTACTAATTTGATCTTTAAAACCATTCATTATCAGATTCTATTGCTGCTCTTGCCATGAAATTCCTTATTAGCTCTACTTTCCTAGTGCAGTCTTTATAGCTTAAGTTATATTATAATACATTGATGTGATTAATAAGTTATAGAATGCGGTTTACTAATTCTAGAATTAAAACAACACTGATTTTTATGGCCAACATATTAATGGTGAAGAAAACTATTTGGTTATAGAAAGAGAGTGCTGCATTACATGGGAGGTGTACTCCTTAGTTTTTGAGCATGCTTGGTGAGTATGTTTTTAACTGATAGTTGCAGCCTCCCAAGTAAAGGTTGAGTGTACTGATGCAATGGACATGATATAATTAGTTAGCAAGTTTTTTTGTGTATGCTTGCTAGCGCCAAGGGAATTATACAAGTTCAACATTGAGCTTCATCAGTCGTTTCCTCCATTTGGGGGGTAATATGACAGTGAATTTACATTTTATGTTGCATTCTTTTATATGAATAGTTTTTTCTTTTTTCTTCTGTTTATCCGTTAACAGGCACGACAAGCATACCTAATTGGCAATAAGGCCCTAGCAAAGGAGCTGAGTGTTAAAGGGCAATTGCACAATATACATATGAAGGCAGCTCATGGAAAAGCTCAAGAAGCTATTTACCGTCAAAGGTTTGTTTTGCTGTTTCTTGGTCTTGGGCATCACTAGCTGATTTTTATGCTAAATGATTAAATAGGATTCTCGGTCATTCTCTGTTATCTTCTTTACATCATCTTTTAATCATGAAGGGGTTAAAGCATTCTGCTTCCAACTGGCATGCTTTATGGTTTGTATTTAATGATGATAGTAATATTAACTTCCTGTGGAGTGTTTACTTTGTATTTTCTTTCCCTGGTTATTACTTTTTTAACTACTCAAGTGCCTCTCTTTGTTGCTTGTGTTTGCTCTGCCTTGACCGCAATCACCACAAACCACTGCTTTGGTTAGTTCTCTATGTCTGTTTATAATCATTGTTCAGGAACCCAGTTGGTCCAGAAAATGGGAGAGGACAAGAGCGAATGATAGATTTGCATGGGTTACATGTTAGTGAAGCTATTCACGTGCTGAAGCATGAGCTTAGTGTGTTGAGAAGCACAGCCCGGGCAGCAGAACAGCGCTTGCAAGTTTATATATGTGTTGGGACAGGTCATCACACCAGGGGTTCCCGCACCCCGGCAAGACTTCCAATAGCTGTACAGCGGTACTTGCTCGAAGAAGAAGGCCTTGAGTATACTGAACCACAGCCAGGGCTGCTTCGAGTTGTGATATACTGAGCCAAGGACACATGGCAGTGCAGGGTAGGAGTTTTTGACATAAAAACAAAGAGGTATGAAGTCATAGTCTTCTTAATCATTCTTGTATCTGTATATGCGAAGAAATGGAAGAGAAGTAGCTCAAGTCTGAAAAAGAGAAAAAAGACAGAAAAAAGTGGGGAAAGAAAAAAAATGGAGAATTTAGGGAAAATGAAGGTAAAGGTAAGGAAGCAGAAAGTGTACCATTAAGGTTTAGCTGGGTGACGTCAGCATACAGTTTGGTAGCATTAGTACCGTACGTTAGCGGAACTTTTGCAACCTTTTTTTTTTTTTTTTTTTTTCTCCTCTTTGAATATCACACTTTGTTAATTTTGTACCTTAATTTTTACTTTGTCAAAAAATTCCTTTTTCTCTTCAAATTCTGAGATGTAACTGATAGAATTGAAGTACATGGATAGCAGTACACTTCGTTAAAGCAGGAGTCCCTTTTTTTTTTTTTTTGGGTCTTTTTGTGAAAAGGGTGTATAGTTCAAGATTTAACTCTGTTATAAACCGAGTATGAATACTACCCAAGGGAGTAATGGCTTGAGAAATTCCAGTAAAAAAGAGAAGGCAATGTGTTGAGAAACAGAGAAAGCATGACTCACTTGGTGGAGTGTGGGTTCATCTTGGACTAAGGTGTCAGAATGAATGGGTCCTTCCAATATTTAGAAAAAGAAAAATTCATTGAGCGGCTGTGCTGGTCAAATGTGATGGACCATGGTGAGCAGACAGCTACTATCATTTTCTGTTGATAAATTTTGATTTCAGGTTTTGGGGGGCAAGTGACAATGATGCATCATGCAAGAATAAGGAACAAGGCAGCATTCGGCATCTGTGACAATAAGATATTAAGATCTTATTTTAGTGAGTGGGACAGGCCAAATCAAACTTGAAGTGATAATAATAAGTCCGAAGTAAATAGTGAATATCATAATTCCACTTCCCACATGTAATTCTGAAATAAAGAATCTTCTTACGTATTCATGCAAGTGTTCAAATTTTTACCGGTTAGAAGGGCCCTAAGTTCTATATATATAAATTGTTGAACGTGTAGGAAAAAATAATTTGTAAACATGATCAAATCCAAACTGAAGGGAGATTTTATTGAATAAATCATAAACCTTATCAAAAAGCCAAAGACAATCAATCACAAACTGAAAGCGTTAACTTCTGAAAGGCAAATTTATTCTCAAGAGATTCTCTTTCAGTTCTTTTTTCGTTAGGTTCTTCTTTTTTGATATAGAAGTAAAGCTTGATGCTATGAGGAGTCTTGAAACCATGGGTGTTTTTGTTTTCTAAAACAGCCAGATCATCTCTCTCCAATTCCTACCAGTCCCAGATATTTGAAGTTTTTGGAGGGAAACCAAACAATGCAACCCAGAAATGAACCTTCAAGCCCATCTCAAACCCGCCATCTTCTCTCCCAAAACTCCAAACACACATGCTAGTTTCTTTCTACCTCCCTTCTTCTCACTCACCAATTCCATCTCTGTCCTTTACTCCACTGCACCATTGTCGTCTTCCTCGTCTTCCTCCTCCTCTCAATGGTTCTCTATTCTTCGCACTGCTGTTTCAACATCCAACTTGGTTCTTGGGAAGTGCACGCATGCTTGCATTTTGAGGTCCGGCCAAAACTCCGATCGTTTTTTAACCAACAATCTTATCACTGTCTACTCAAAATGCGGGTCACTATCTTATGCCCGCCGCCTGTTCGATAAAACACCCGACCGAGACCTTGTTACATGGAATTCCATCTTAGCTGCGTATGCACATTCGGTCGAATCTGAAATTCATAATATCCGGGAGGGTTTTCATCTTTTTTCCCTTCTTCGTACGAATTTTGTTTCAACTAGTCGATTGACCATTGCACCGATGTTGAAGCTGTGTTTGCATTCTGGCTATATTTGGGCTTCTGAGGCTATTCATGGTTACGCGGTCAAGATTGGTTTGGAGTGGGATATGTTTGTTTCAGGAGCTCTTGTGAATATATATTCAAAGTTCAGGCGGATTAGAGAAGCCAGGGCTTTATTTGAAGAGATGCCAGAAAGGGATGCTGTGTTATGGAAAGTGATGTTGAAGGCTTATTTGGAAGTTGGTCTTGAGGAAGAAGCACTTACTTTCTTCTCAGCGTTTCATCGCAGTGGGCTGCATCCTGACGATATCACAGTGCGATATCTTCTCAGTGGGATTTCAGATAATGGCTCTTATATAACCCGGAGGTATATGGAGCAAGTCCAAGCCTATGCAGCTAAATTATTTTTACATGATGATGATTCAAATGTAATCATGTGGAACCAGATCATGTCGGAGCATCTTCAAGTTGGCGAGTATTTGGCTGCTCTTGAGTGCTTCACAAATATGATCAGGTCAAGTGTAGAATATGATAGTGTGACGTTTGTTGTAGTTCTAGCTGCAGTTGCATATCTAAACTATTTAAAGTTGGGGCAACAAATTCATGGTATGGCTTTGAAATCGGGTTTTGATTTGGTTGTTTCTGTTGGAAATAGTCTTATCAATATGTATTCTAAAATGGGATATGTCCAGTTTGCTGAGAAAGTATTCTCTGATATGAAAGAGTTAGATCTGATATCATGGAATTCAATGATATCCAGTTATGTGCAGAGTGGTTTGGAAGAGGAGTCGGTGAATCTATTCATTGATCTTTTATGCAGTGGTTCAAGACCAGATCATTTCACCTTAACAAGTATTCTAAAGGCTTGTTGTTCGCTTTCAGGAGGCATCTATCTAAATAAACAGATCCATGTTCATGCAATAAAAATTGGCAATGTAACCGACAGTTTTGTCTCAACTTCTCTGATTGATGTGTATTCTAGAAACGGAAATATGGCAGATGCAGAGCTCCTATTTGATAATAAAGATGGGTTCGATCTGGCAACTTGGAATGCAATGATGTTTGGCTATATCTTGAGTAACAATGGTCATAAAGCATTGGAACTCTTTACTCTAATGCATGAAAGTGGAAAGACGTCAGATCAGATCACATTAGCAACAGCTGCCAAGTCATGTGGTTGCTTGCTTGCGTTGGAAGGAGGGCAGCAAGTTCATGCTTATGCGGTCAAATCTGGATTTAACTCAGATCTATGTGTCAGCAGTGGTATTTTGGATATGTATGCAAAGTGTGGAGATATGGTGGCTGCACACCTTGTTTTCAATGGTATCCCGGTGCCAGATGATGTTGCATGGACAACTATGATCTCAGGATGTATAGACAATGGGAATGAAGATCATGCTCTTACCACATACCATCAAATGAGGCTGTCAGGGGTCTTACCTGATGAATATACCTTTGCAACACTTATCAAAGCCTGCTCCTGTTTAACAGCATTAGAACAAGGGAGACAAATTCATGCAAATGTAATCAAAATGGGATGTGCTTCAGACCCTTTTGTAGGAACTTCTCTTGTTGACATGTATGCTAAGTGTGGAAATGTAGAAGATGCATATGGCTTATTTAGGAAAGTAACTGCGAGGAGGGTTGCATTGTGGAATGCCATGTTGGTGGGTTTAGCTCAACATGGAAATGGGGAGGAAGCACTCAACCTTTTTAAATTGATGCTACCCTTGGCCTTGAACCTGATAAAGTTACCTTCATTGGGATCCTTTCTGCTTTTAGTCATTCTGGTTTAGTTTCTGAAGCTTATGAGCACTTTTACTCAATGCAAAAATATTACGGCATTGAGCCTGAGATAGAGCATTATTCATGTCTAGTCGATGCTCTTGGACGTGCAGGACATGTTCAAGAAGCAGAGAGGCTGATTGCATCCATGCCTTTTGAAGCTTCTGCCTCAATGTACAGAGCCTTGCTTGGTGCCTGTAGGGTTAAGGGAGACACAGTAACTGGCAGTGGGGTGGCTGCTAAACTACTGGCTTTGGAGCCATCTGACTCAGCAGCGTATGTTCTGCTGTCCAACATTTATGCCGCTGCCAACAAATGGAATGGGGTAAATGATGCTAGAAAAATGATGAAGAAGAAGAATATAAAGAAGGATCCAGGATTTAGTTGGATTGACATAAAGAATAAAGTTCATTTGTTTGTGGTAGACGATAGATCACATCCACAAGCTGATCTGATTTATGAAAAGGTAGAAGATCTGATTCAAAGAATTAAAGAAGCAGGATATGTCCCTGATACAGATTACGTGCTGCTCGATGTAGAAGAAGAGGAAAAAGTGCGAGCTCTTTATTATCATAGTGAAAAGCTAGCAGTAGCCTATGGTCTCATAAGCACTCCTCCGCTTACACCAATCCGGGTAATAAAGAACCTTCGTGTTTGTGGGGACTGTCACAATGCAATCAAGTACATATCAAAGGTTTGTCAACGAGAAATTGTGTTGAGAGATGCAAATCGCTTTCATCGATTCAAAGATGGAATTTGCTCTTGTGGCGATTATTGGTAGCATCAAACTAAACTGTTTTGGAAATAGTGCACAACCTTAGGTAGTTTTTGTTGTTCGGTTTCTTTCTAGGAGCATGTTTCCAGCTGCTATGGTCTCTCCCCATTCGGTAAGAGCTTATATATAAACATTCCACAGATTGATCCGACTTTCATGATTGCCTTCACATGACAAATAAATGTTCGGCACTGAAACCTACTTAAAAACAGGTTTTGTGGAGTTTTATTCTTTTTTAGTCATTTGTAATAAAATTAGATTCAAATAATTATAACATAAATATAAAGATAACATATTAGACATTATATTGTGTAGACTGAATATATGATATTAAAATTAAGTACAATTGTAGCTGTATTTGTTAATTTTTTAAAAATAATAGTCCAGTCATTGTATGGAAACATATATGATACTTCTTTTGTAAATTGTAAAAGTGTAGTTAAAATAATTAAAGTACAAAATTGTACTGCTATCATGTACTTCAATTCCATCAGTTATATATCTCAGAATTTCAAGAGAAAAAGCAATTTTTTAACAAAGTAAAAATTAAGGCACAAAATTAACAAAGTTCCGTGTTCGGAAAGAAAGAAGACGTACGGTCCTAATGCTACCAAACTGTATCCTGACTTAACTCAGCTAAACCTTAATGGTAAACTTTCTGCTTCCCTAAATTCTCCATTTGTTTTTTCCTTTACCCAGTTTTTGTGTCTTTTTTCTCTTTTCCAGACTTGAGCTACTTTTCTTCCATTTTCTTTGCATGTACAGATACAAGAATGATTAAGACGACTATGATTTCATACCTCTTTGTTTTTATGTCAAAAACTCCTACCCTGCACCGCCCATGTGTCCTTGCCTCAATATCTAACAACTCGAAGCAGCCTTGGCTAGCAAGTCATTTGTACAAATTCTGAGAGATTCTTCTGGTTCTCAAAGTTATGGCAGATACATGAATCATTCTATGGTAAAAGGCTACCAGATAGGAAAAGTTCTGCTTCGGCCATATGAAGATGTTGTAGGCATAGGGCATTCTATGGGTTGGTCTAGCATTCTTATACATGGATCGGGTGAACCAAACTTTGATTCTTGAGTGGCAAACCCATACGAAACATCTAACAAAGAAGAGAGAAGGAGGTGCGGTCTCTTCTTGACAAGCTCCCAGCCGAAACAACAATGCTTGACCCGACGAAGATTGGGACAGTGAAGCCCCAAAAGAAGAAAGAAAAACAAAGAAAAAAGGAGAGGGAGGCTGAGATGGAAGCTGCCAAAGATGTTACCCTAAAGAAGAAAACAAAAGGAAGGAATAAACTGAGTATGGGAGTGAAGAAGAGGCCATTCTTGAAGCAGCTGTTGAAGGGGGAGGAATTGTCAAGAAAGAAGCGGAAAATTAGTCAAGATAAGTGGACTGCCATTGAGTTTACAGCGATTTGCTCATAAGAAACCACCACTCTGGTAACTTTTATCTCCCATGTACAACAGTATATAAAGGAGATAAATATATTATACTAATATCTGTAATTATATATAATAATTGATAACTATAAATATTATATTCTATATGATATATAATTATATTTTTAATGTAATATAAAATACATTATATAAATTTATGTATATATAATACATATAATATATTATAATTATACTGATTATATAAAATCATGTTATTTATAATATATAAATTATATTATAATATACAATATAAATATATTGTAATCTCATAATATATTATAAATAATACATGACAATAATCATTATAACTTATTTTAATAACATGATATATATATATATATCGTATATGAAATTATTCAATATTATAATAACATGATTTTATATAATCAATATTATTATAATATAAAATAAGATAATTTATTATTTTATGTTATATTATATTATATTATATTAAATCCACATAATGTTATACGTTAGTAAGCTGATTTCAATTAATATTTATTTTACTTAGATATAAGTAATTACTATAACATAAATACATTATAAACAAAATATATACCTCTATATTTATTATTACTATCTTATGATTGTAATATAATTTATATTTATGATAACATATAATATGTTAGATTATATATAATAATAATTATCTTTATTATACATGTTAACGTATATTGTTATATAATTATTATGAGATTTATACAACTATAGATAACTGTACAATTTTGTTGAAAGTTGTATATTTAAAATATAATAATATAAATAAAACATACAAATTTTATATGTTAATATTTATAAATAATTTTATTATGCATTATAACACAAGATAGTAATGATTTATAATTTATAATATAATTTAAGCTTAATATTCTTTAAGCAAAATCAATACATAATAATAATAATAATAACAACAATGCATAGTGTGTATACGTATATAAATGTGTTTATATAGCGTAAGGCAATGTTAGTATTATGTGAGATATTGTTGTATTATTAAATTTGTAGAATAGTTATAAATAATAACATACAATATACGATTCGTAGGCCAAATTAAACTGCTGGTTGTTATTCACAATGAGAAAGTAATAATTTAATTTGTAGTGAATACTACAAATTTTCATTATTTCATTATAAAGGGCAATATTAAATTAATATATATATATATATATATATATATATATTCAGAAGACAAAAGAAAAAATTTCCTATAGATTGTAAAAGATTGATATTATTATTACACATAAAGTTATATTGATTAACTAACTATTATTATAATCTTAATATTATTCAATCGTATTAATGATTTAATTATATAAGTATATAAATTAATAATTTAATAAATATTTATAATATTTGTAATTATATTGTATAATTTATAATATAATTGAGAGAAATGTTACTGATTCTTGTAGTTATGGTAATTATATAAATATATATTATATTTACATATAATATATTTCTTATATAACTATATACATAATGATATGTTATCAATTACAAAATATTTAAATGATGTTAAAATATTATAAATATTTTATATAATATTTTATATATTGTTATATTAATATTAATTATATTGTATAGTAAAGAAGAATTCAAAACTATTACATATGTTATGATTTATTAATTAAATACATTATATTATTAATCACTATATGTGATTATACTATATAAATATAATATATATTTTATATGGTTTAATAAATGTATATATTTAATATACATTTATTATATAGTCATAATTGTATTATATTAATATCTTTGAATATAATAACTGATAATACATATATATGTATCATAATAATTGAAACATAAATTACTATTATATTTATTCAATCAAGATATAAAGTAATATATATTAGATTATTTAACCTAGACATATCGTTACATAAATAAATAGATAAAGTTACAACTATACAAATATGTATAATATGTATAATTAAAAGATACTAATATTTGAATTCACATAAAAAAATAAACTGTGATTTTAAATCATTTTATATTTACATATAAAAAGGTAATAGACTTGTGTTGAGATGTTAGATAATTGTGAATTATTGCAATGGTTGATAAGAATTTTCATATACCTATTGTAATAGTTTGTAAAGAGTCTCATGTACCCTTTCATATCTATAAGTATTAGTGTAAATCGATCACAAGAGGTAACTTTTATGGAATAAAATCACAGTTCATAATACTCTCTTTAAATTTTCTATTTATCTCTTCTCTCTTTTCTCTACTATCTATTTTCTCTCTATATTTGGCTATTTCTCTCTTTAACAGCCTCTCTCAAACAGTCTCTCTCTCTTTATAAAACATTCTCTTTTTTCTCTCCATTTCTTTATTCCTCTAAAAACCAGTCTCCCCCTCTCTTACTCTTTTCTTCTCTCTCCCAAACTTCATTTCTTCTCTCTTTTTAGAAATCTTATTTTCTTTCCTAAAATTTTAATTTTGTTCCACACTTCTTTAATTTTAAATTCTATCTAATTTTTTAAATTATCTTAGAATTACCCTAAAATAATTCAAACTTTAATATTTTCCGCAAGTTATGGGTTCAGTAAATCACATGTTAAAGTTTGACAACTTGGTATTAGAGCAGTGATTCAGATTCAACTTGGTGACCGACCGTACTGCAAAACTCTTCGATGGGATATACCAACAACTTGATCTAATGATTAAGATGTTGGGCGGCAATGTCTTTGTCCGAAGGCTGTAAAACCCACAGCCTTTACTGTAGTTGTACGAGTAGTGTAGAGTGGGACTCCTATTCTCCCTCTGCGGCATGACAAAGAAGAAGAAGAAAAAGAAGAAGAAGAAGAAGAAGAAGAAGAAGAAATAAGAAAAAGAAAAGGAAAAAAAAGATCCACATAAAGATATTGTAGAAGAAGAACTAGAAGAAAAAGAAGAAAAAGAAGAAGAAGAAGAAGCAAAAGAAGAGAAGAAGATACGAAAGAAGAAACAGAAGAAGAAGAGGTGAAACAAGAAGACATTACTGCATCGGTGGTGTACGAGGCATGCCGAGAAGAGCTGAATTCTATGGGTTTACGTAGCAGGAAATTGCTTTCAAATATATATTTTTATATGTAGATATAATAATTAAAAAAATATTTAAAAAAACTAGAGTTGAATCTCAACCTTATGGACAAGGTTGATGTTTAAGGGGAAGGAATGTTAAGAATTAATTTACAAATTAAGAATATAATTAATTACTTTGTTAGTAGTTGAACTTTATAAATTAGAGTCTTTATATATCTCTTAGTTTGTTTGTAGTTATGGGTCATAAATTAGATTTATTATGTTTGTTGGTGGTTAGAATTAATTCTAATAGTTGTAATAGTGTATATAAATAGTCATGTACTAAAAGCTCTTTTGCAACAACCACAACAGAAAAACTTGAGTCTTCTCATTAGTCTCTCTAGTCTCTTCCTCTTATCTCCAACAAAGTGGTATCATAGCTTGATTTCTTGTTAAATACTAGAGAGATGCCTAGTAATAATCTTTTTTTTTTCAAATGTCCTCGTCTTACAAAAGAAAATTGTGAGAGTTAGTATCTTCGTATGAAAGCCCATACTTGGCTCACAAGATGTGTGGGATATTGTAGAAAGAAGCTTTACTCCACCCGAAGATGAAGGATCCTTAACTCAAAATGAGAAGGATGATTTTGCAAAAATAAGGAAGAAATGATCAGCAAGCCCTTGCATT